ATATATATATATTTCTATTATATATAGATATAAGACGAGTTTCTATTTGCGTATTTTAAGAAAGAAAAAATATGAAATTATTGTTGATCTAAAAATATATTTCTTTTTTAGATAATTTAATTTTGAATTTGAATTATTTTGAAGAATTATTATACTATATTAATATATTGGAATATAAGATGATATTTAACCATGAATTATCTATAATAAAATAATATTTTGATTAAAGAACTTGAAATTGAATAAATTTTATTTGTTCTTCTCTTCTTTCTTTTCTTCTTTTTCTTATCTTTTCAAACTATTGAATGATTATTCAATATTTGAAAGAAACAAAATGAATATTTTGATTTTTCTTTTGATTGGAATTCGCGATAGCTCTTATACAACAAAATCTATAATGATCTTAATAAGGCTCCACATAAACATCTGAGAGATCGTGATCATAATTCATGACCCTTTATGATGCTGGTTCTGGACTCGCCGAGCCCCCTCCCTTCCCATGGAATTCCTCCTCCTCCCGGATCACGCCTAGATCCAAATATTCCGAATCGTTGAGATTCTGCCGTATTTCTGCCGCATGACGGCTCCAAAGCCATTAATTATGTCGAGGATCTTATCTCAACCGCGCCTGATATTATCCGGCCCTTGCGACAATGGAAATTTTCCAAGAATTATCTTTAGGAGGCGTTCCTGTCGGGTCCGTTCTGTCGCGATTGATCCAAGAAAAGAATATCATGAGATTAATAATGATGGTGATTAATAATAAATATCCAAGGCGATCTGTATCGCGAACCACGTTCGCCGCGGGGAGCCGGAGGGACTAAGAACAAACCCAAACCCCCTAATCCATGCCCCTTCGGGGGGAGGGGGGGACCCGGACTCAAACCAAACCAAGGCTGCCCACGACAAGGGCGGGATGAGAGAAATACCAATCATTGGGGAGGGGAGAAAGAATCATCCGAGCCGGAATCATATGTAGATTTATTTATTAAGTCCTGAAGATCAAATCGATATAATGATATCGCAGATATAATTAATCAAAATATCTATATAAAAAGAAAGGGCGCAAGATTTATAAGAATGCCAATATCAAAATCTCTTATAATAAGTCCAGAAGATTAAGATATCGAATTTGGTTTCCAAATCTTACGAAGAAACTTATTCATAATAAAAGAATATTCAAATCAAAATATCGAAATATAATCAATATTCGAGCAAAGATTTGCCCAAGATCATACGCGAATATAAAATAATCAACAAATTCGAGATCATTATACTTGTAATTAAATAATTCATATACAAATTTTTCTTTTCTATCAATTTCAATTACCCAATCAAGAAAGAATATAATTAAAATAAATAAGGTGTCTTCTACGATCGATTATAACATATACCAAAATTCAATATCTACAAAAAAATCGTATATCGAATTATCAATACCTTCTATTCAAATTAAATAAAATTCTCCATTTTGCTCTTCATCATTATATACCATACATAAAAAATATATATCAAATATCCAATCATTCATACGACCCAATCTCATTAAGAGAAATCTTAAATATTTTTTCATTTCTAAATCAAAAATCCAATTACCTAAAAACGAAGAACCCTAAATTTCCTTAATTTCATTACCAAAATTTCCATAGTTCATCCGAAAACATAACAAAATTTTATATTTTTTGTATATCATTCATATCATTTTATCTTCCAATCAAAATTCGTAAATCAAAATAATGTAAATCTTTGCCATATAAATATATATTTATGAAATTATATATATATTTTTTTTCGAAGTCAAATCTATATACAATAACAAGATTTTTTTTTCCAAATGTATAAGAAAATATCTTTAGATTTATCTCATATCTTCGCAAATCTATTTTCAAACAAACACTTTTCACTGTCCAAATCTCAAGAGATTTCTTTCAAATATTTGAAAATATAAGCTATTAAATCTAAATAGATTTAATATTAATTTATCAAATAATTCAAGTTCTCAAAAACAAATTTGGATATTCAAATTTCATTTATCGATATATTAAATAGATGAATGATCCAATCTAAAATCTTTTAATATGTTTCTTGGAATTTTGTTTTTCTTCTGGATTCATAATATGAAATTTTTGGATTTATTATATTATCTCCCCTATCTCCGTCCCACCAATGCCGTCGTTGCCCTACTAGCCCATCTTTCCTTCGAATTTCTGGCATAAAGAATATATTGTTTCCGAACAATAGAGAAAATGATTTAATTGGCAAAGCGCCTTCCATCTTGCCAGATGATCTTCAAAACACCATCTGCTTTGTCGTTCCGGTTGCATGAGATTTTCAGAAATTGTTTGCTTTCGACCGCAATGATTTAAGTTTCAAGTGTATGGCGCTGTACTTTCAATAAGCGCACGTGGGGAAACTTCTTTCTTGAAAACGACTGTGCGCTTGACCATTTAGTTTGATAAGCAGAGCTTAGAATCATTTGAGCATTCGGAATGGTTGCATGAAGCGCTAACTGATGGCAGCATCCCGAAAGCTGCAGCCCAACACAGCGCAGACGAAGCTATTCTTCTGTTTTCATTCAGCGCACTGCGTGCATCGCCCCCGCCCCTGCGCGTAAGCTTTCGAGGCCTCACAGCAGCGAGCAGGCAAGGCCGGTTGAGCACATGGGTCATTCTCTAAATTAGGGCCCCTTCTCAGATCCCCGAAATAGTAAGGCACCCTAACAAGGGACCCCAATTCAGCGAACTATCCACATGTGTTCTGACAAACTGAGCCTCTGGCTTGCTTGGGCCTCTTTCAGCAACGAGATTACTCCCGGCTGCACCGGCCGTCCACCAGCAACAAAAGCCGGTGTAGGCATGATTCCTCAGAGTTCAGGTTCCCTTGACTCTATAGCGGGGCTTCATTTTGGATGCGTGCTTGCATGGCGTTGCATCTTGAAGGCTCCGAATCAATAAACGCCAAATCTTTCTTCAATAAGCTGAGAGCCAGACCCGTCATGGAAGTTGCCGTGCTGGTGAGACTCGGCCCCGCATATCCGATCGGAGGCGCAAGAGCAGGCGAAGCTGCTGGAGAGATCCCCACGGTGACTGGAACGAAAGGGATTCCAATTTGTGGTGCAGCGACTGCTACCGGCTGCCTCTGGGTTGGAACTGGACTCAGCACCAGAGGGCTGTTGCTTGCTTGGCCGTGGCCAGAGTGGCCGGGGCCCACTTGGCAGACTTGAAGAACGTGCTGCGTGCGTTGCGGTGACGGTGGCAGTGGCCTCAGGTCTCAGGTCGCACATTCGACGTTGCCGACCAGAAGGCGATCTTCAGATGAGCAGCGCTGATGCTTGGAGGTGGCCCCCTTGTCTCCTAGAGAGGCTGCCGGAAGTGCTGAGGCTGGCACTCTTTACATCCGTTGCTCCGAGGCCTCGGCTTGGTGGGTGAGGACGGAGAGGCGGAGCGGCCGGAACGTCCTCCCACTGCCTCGCACGGCTCTCAGGTTCGCTGAAACCGAAGCTGAGCGAACTTCGACGGCTTGAGCCTGGCTTCGGGAGGATATGGGCATGCGACCTCGAGCCGCGTCGAAATGAGTCGAAAGATGGACGCTGTCGAGAACATCTTCGAGGCAAGAGCTCACTTTCGGCTTCAAGATCGCACTGGACCTGACTGGGCGCGTTAACACCGCTCCTTCAATTTTGCGCTGTCTTTTACTTTTTTCATGGGCCCGGGCTGCTCGGAGAGTCGATGTCGTTCCTGGCCCTGAGCTGCTGCCAGGGACGCGTGGAAGGCATCCCAGGGTCGGAGGCTGCGGAGCCAAACGTCGCCTCTCAGCGGAGCACAGTGGAGCGGGAGAAGAGGACACTAGCGGCTCTTGCGGATTTTGAAGTTCAGATTCAGGCCTGCTTGTTTCAGCCTCGCGTCGGCAGCGGAAGATGGTTGCTGGATGCCCAGAGTTCGCAACCTCCGTGTCTGCGAAAGCAAGCGGCAGCTGTCGTGAGCAGCATCGAGCCAAGTGTTTGAGCAAATTTGAGCCCCCGTCCCTGTAGGAAAGACGTGCTTTTGACTGGCTCCTCTCTCCACGCTGACCTTCACCCGCAATAGTCCCACTATTCCTTGGCATCAGTCTGAATGCGCCGTCATGTTGCAGAAACAACTGCCACGTAAGGCTATTGGCTGTTCAACATGTCCTGGCATGTCGCGGAGAAAGTGCCACCCTTCTGGGGGAGCTGCCCTGGCCATCGTTTGCCATGGTGATGTCGGAGTTGAACCCGAACGGGTAGAACTGATGGCACCTTCTGTCACACGACAGGGCAGCCACAGTCCACCACAAGCTCCGCTCGAACCATCAGAGAATGTCGGCTTCGGGCCGGAGGATGGCGGATCCCTCAAGCTGTGTTTCCTGGGCCCATGCGCATCACTGGAGCAGGGGATATGATGCGGGTATAGCCCAGCATCCTCGCATGCCACGTGGAACTCCAAGTCTTCTCCCTCCACGTAGTCTTGAAGCTCACCTTCTAGATTCCAGACCTGGGACTTCAGGAGTACAAGCACTAGTACTGCAGTTGTAGTGGTAGTGCGACGATGAAGATGACAACGACAAGAACCACGACCGCCAGTCCACTCCTTGTCTCATGCCATGAAACCCTGGACTCCAAGCTCCCCAACCCGCAGGGAAAACCGCAACACAACACTGAATCTGCCACCCCACTTCCCACAGGTGTGCAAATCTCCCAAGTCCTAGTCAGTTCTCTTAGTGTCACACAAGCCTGAGACACAAATCAATTGGTCTGCAAAGCGTGTTTCTTGCCTAGACTCCCGGACGGTAGAAGGCGAGTATGAAGAGTACGGGCAGGGTAAACTAGGTCCCCGACTTGGAAGCTGCTTGACTCACCCCCAAAACTCTTGCCCCGTTATGCTTGATCTGAGACAGTCTCGCTGAGGCGAAGGTTCAAGTTGGATTTGGGGCATTTCGTTTTTTCAAGGAAATCTGACAATGTTGGCGACTCTAAGACGAGTTAAGAAAGGCTCACAGACCAGAGGCGATGCCGACCCGATCACCTGGGCTCCTGACTGTTTGGTACCCCTGCTCCATGGCGGGGCCAGTCTGCAAGTCTGCATATCTCCGCCTTTCAGAGAGTTTCACTCGCTCTCTCTCCGTATGGGAAGGGAATAATCTCCTGTTTCAATCGTGCCAAGCCGGCCCGGCAATGGCGCAAATGCAGGAGAACACTCGCCTGGCCAAACCCCCCCAAAGGAAGCACACAGACGTCCCTTCTCTGCAAGACGAGTCAAAACGCTCGACCATTTTTGTTCTCACCTCTGTGTATTCGTTTACCGTCTACCATACTGCGGTCCGCCCTGCACACGTGCTCTCCGGTGCCAGTGAAATCTAACCCCATTGCCTTGAAGACAAGTCGAGCCCATGCAATCCTCGGAAGCTCTGGATGATCACTTTCAGCCTGCCGCCGTCAGGCTGCAAGTGCAGTTCCGAAGGCATCGAAACGGGGGCCTCTTTGGGCTCAGCGTTGGTTTCGCCTTCGGCCTGGGACCTGAGAACAGAACAGGTCTCCGGCTCCTGAGACGATTGCACCCCTTCCTCTTTTTCCGTGGTACAAAATTTGAGGAAATTTTTGCTGGGCTTCGGGCTGGAAGCCTTGTCTTGGCGATGCTCCTGCCGCTCTGGGGCCTCCAAATGCTTCTGGTGCTGGTGCTTCTCGCGACGAGCCGCGGAAACCTTAAACCAACAAGCAACGCGGCAGCGCTTTCAGGGAGTTCATGGACTGCAAGACCAAACTGGGTTTCCTACGGCTGTTCGCTGCACTTTGTGGCACGTCACCTGTCGCAGCGGACATTGAGGATGCTAGGGGAAGGGGTTCTGCAACAAAGTGAGAATGCAAAGACCAATGTCAAGTTGATCGGCGCCTGCACTCTCAGAGAAGGTCGCTCGGAGTGTGTGTGCAGTTCGGCCTGGACAAGTCATAAACAAAACGAGGCACTTGGAGCCGTGGGCAGCTGCTTTTCTTGGTTGCCGACACCGCTGCATAGCTCTAACCCAAGGTCTCCGTCGAAGCCTAGATATCCACCGAGATGATCGGGAAGATGCCAGGAAAGCAACCGAGAAAGCGGCCGTCTGGAAGCAGCTGATTAGCTGAAAGTGTGGCCTTCACGTAGCCACTAAGCTCAGGGCGCTGCATCATCTGAACACCACGTGTCCACTACTCTCTGCGAGGACAGGACCGTCGCAAGTAATGTGTCTTTCCCCGGCCAAACTTCCTGCAGATCAATCTCCATTCTACGAAGTCAGCGTGCAACTGCGACAATTCAAGCGCATGGCGTCCTTGCTGTAGATAGAGAAGACTAGAGGCTCTTTGCCGGAGAACTCCATGTCGACCGTCTTGTTCCACACCTCAGCGACACTGTAGCTGGGTATATTTTTCGAGCATCGAGTGCAAGTAAAGGAGGCTGGGCAGCCCTGCTGGTTCCCGTGAGTCAGTGATGACAGCTGTTCTGCATTGAAAAGGCGTGTCCCCGGCGAGGTCACAAAGGCAGTATGGGCTGCACCTCTTGCGATGCTTGAAGAACTTCAAGCAACAATTCTGAGACTTCTCAAGTCAAGTTGAAGCCTCCCACTGTCGCGTGTCGTTGGCAATGCAACAGCTGCTGCAAGTGTGACGCGAAGCTGCCAGACCTGCAGAGAGTCCGCATGCTGGCACAGCATCGGCCGGCCACGCAGCACGATGCCTCATGTAAGCCCCCCGGTGCAGCGGTGGAGGAGCAGGATCCGCCCCTCTCAACCAAAAGGGAGCAAAAGGAGTCGAACGTCAACACAGTCGAAGCTTGGGATCTTGACTGAACATCAACTGGCTAGTAGAGCAACGGCTCCGCTGCTCCCACAGCATGACTAGCTGCCACCACTGCCAGGCACTCGCAAGAAACAGTATCAATCCGATTGCCAGCACCAGCACTACCACCAGAAGCACCACCACGATCACCAACAGCAATCAAATCACAGAGAAAGTTGTAGTGCTCTGCACGAAGACGGCATCTATCGTGTTGCCACTCTGCTTCTACAGAGAATCACGGCTTTCAGCTTTGTGAATTTGCGAAGAACTCACCACTCGGCAGCTACTGCCGTGCAGGTCGGCGAACAACTTACAAAGAAGCACAGGCCAGAAAACCAGACCTCTGCTCTTGGCGAGCATTCTGTTGGAGACGCTCCGAAGGAGGATGCTGGGGAAGATGTTGGGGAGCCTGCGTGGTTGGCGGCCTCAGGGCAAGGCCAATCAGTCTGGGCATCGCTGCAGCACTCTTGTGGCCTCCTCGTTTCCTTCGCCGGCATCTCCTCTGTGCTGTAGAGCCTGGTCGTACAGCACACGGGGGCAAAGCAGCGTAGCCATGCCATGTGTAGTCATTTGGACGAGCTTGAGCTCCGCACAACTGCTGGGCTTCGGCAGTGTCCATCAGAGTCTCGTGAGGCTGTGCCGCAGGCTGAGAAGGAATGGGCAGGCGCACCTTTCATCAGCAGTGTTACGTCCAGCTCTGACCATGCATTGCGATTTAGGCCTGACCCTCATCGACAGTGATTCGCAGATACAAGATAGCCTGGCACCAGGCTTTCGTCAGCATTTTAGCCGCTGACATGAGAAACCCGGAAGGCGCACATTCTTGCCCCCAGGCACACCCTCGAGCATGACATCGCCCTCGAATCCCTTCCTTGACAATACAAGAAAGGCTCTTTCCGGATGCGCCGACGACGCTCAGAGAAGGGAGGGACAGAAAGAGTGATTTGAGTGTGACACGGCTTGGCTGCAGCGCCCCTTTGCAAGCTGAGCCGCGGATAAAATTCCTCACTCTCCAAGGTCACTTGCCCGAGGAAGTCGGAACCGATTCCGCGGAAGTCAAGCAAACCTGCAATCGAAGCAGCAATAAGCCTAGGTCCAGCCGACTTGTGCTGGGCTTCGCTAGGCTCCGTGCGCTCGGAGAGATCCTTCAGGGAGTCATCCTGACGTTGGAGGGAGGCTGAAAAAGCCGCGGATGGGTGCACATTCGCAAAGGCGCAGGCAACCTTCCGTCCTTGTCCAGCACCTGGAACTGGAGACTGGCGCCCGGGTTGTAGCGGAACTGGTGCTCCTGGAAGGCGTGTTCGCGTCCTCTCACTGCATCCAAAAGATTGGTAAAGCCTCGTCCCAGACCGGGTCCAGCGTTTGCCTGCAAACCTGCCGCGACTTCTGATCTCCAGCAAACGCCTTTTCATGCAACGTCATGTGACATGTGACCTTCACCCATGCTTGTAGCCTGCTGGTCTCATCGGTATTTCCCGACTCAAGTCTGGAGAGCTCCCAAGACCCTGCCCAGATTGCCTGGGTTTGGAAGACGGGGTCCGCGCCCGGTGGAAGGAAGCAAACCACGTAAGGATCGGACCTCACAGCTTGGCTCACTGGCCCAGGCTCCGACTGCGGCCGCGGCTTCCACCAAGCTCCGCACAGACCTTTGGCATCGCCGCGCGGCAGGTCGGAGGCGCTGTGAACATAAACCTGGTCGCAAAATTCGCAGAGCTCCTCCAAATGAGCTGTGCTTTGTGCTTTGGCATATGTCGGCTGGCCTTCAAGGTTGTAGCCAAAGCGACATGGCGCACGGGCTCAGGCATTAGGAACACCACCCTGTGCAGATGTGACTCTCATGGTTTGCAGCTCCAGCAAGTTGTCAGATTTCAATTACATTCGAGAAGTTTCTTTGCACTTCTCGAATGTCTTGAGCCCAGGGAAGTCGGGTGATATATCCGAAGAGCTCTCGCACGACACAACTCGGACGGACTTCTGGCTACAGAAATGCGCAAGCGTCCACATTTCAAGACTTGGGCTTCATCCCGGCATTTCCTGGGACAAGTCCCAGGTTTAGGGACATATACATCGAGCCCACCCTGGCAGCAAGCACTCTTTTAAACGAGATTTGGGCCAGCCGGAAAACCTAGTCCGCCGAGTGAGGCGTGAGTGCCTCCTTGACCTGACCTAGTGAAACGCACTACCAGTAGCGTTGGTCTACTCGACCAAGCAAATGCTGGGAGCTGCCTCCATCATCCTCAACTCATAGCAGCTTGCATCGTTCTGTGAGGCAAGAACGACAGCCCTTCTCCCTTCAGGCTGCGGCTCGACTTCTTCGGGGCCGGCAATGTCTTCGCCTCACATTGTCAGGAGGCGGTTTTGCTGCACGAGATCCTCAGTTGCGACACTGTTGCGACGTTCTGCAGAACTGCCCACCTTGTCGTTGCGACGCCGCATTGGACCTCAGCAAGCATCTTGTTCTTATGCTCGGAGGCACAGCGCGCCACGGCAGACGCATCAGAAGGGACGGGAGGTTGCTAGTCACGCTAGTCAGCACTGCAACGTGCGGGCGCAGAGCAAAGACATGAGCCCACACCCAGTGCTGTCCGAGGACAACTGAAATCGACACTGAATTGAGACGAGCCCTGTCTCGCAACCGCAAGCTCAAGTCTACCAGGTCTACCAGTTACAGCTGGGAGGGCACGCAGTTTGTGTTGGCTCCCCGGCCAAACTCAAGACCGGGCCACTGTCACTACAGCCCCGACAGCATGTGTGCACTTTGAATCCACTTCGTTGTTCGCACGGCTCAAGACTGAAAGCCTCTCCGGGGCATCGGCTTGTCACAGGACTTAGCACGTCCATGACCGATGACTCCTTCCGCTGTACATGAGAAACGATTGGCGACTTTCTTGCTTTGCGGCAGCTGCAATGCTAATACCGGTAATGCCAGTGACCCTAAGCAAATATTGACATCTAGACAAGCGGTGCATTTGCCTACCTGACAAGGCCGTCCTGCGACAGAAGCCGGTCGATGACTTTGGCCAACTTCTCCGTGTGTTGGCCTCAAAAGTGGTGGAAGCTTCTTAAAAGACACTGCTGGACTCGATGAACGAAAGTTGGGTTGAATGATGTTGTGTCTTGAGCTGACAACCTACGTCGGTCTCTGTGACCACAATTCCACAGGCTCAAGAATTCCGACCGCCGCACGTCTGCGTTTGGAGTACTGAGGCGGCTGACGGCAGAGCGATCGAGTCTTCCGTGTCCATGGTCCAGCTCCAGCCTGTTGGCAATTTCTCTTCTCATGAGCTACGGCGCTCTTGCAGCGCTTCTGTGTCGAGACCATTGAGTACCGGTTGATGTCTTGCTCTGATGCAGGATGACGTAGCTTGGCAGCAGTAGCACCCGAAGCACCCAAGCAATGCTCGGGGCCCTCGCATCTTCCTGGACCTCTGCGCCCTGGCAAGGAAGATTTGACCATGAGGATACCATCAATGAGGTTTCGGGCTGGGCTTGTCACAAGGCTCGTGTTGAGGTCCCGCCTCCACGTGCGGCTCGTGATTGTGGAAGTATTGCAGGAACTCGTCATACTCAATCATGCCGTCGCCGTTTGTGTCGGCCTGGCCCCCACCCATGCTCGCATGTCTTTCGATCCGGCGCTCGTAAGGATGCTGCCTCCCACTCGACAAACATCTACTCGTGAGGTATTTCGCTGACAGAACCAGTCAGACGTCAGGGCCGGACCTCGCGGATCAAGTCCTCCGCATCGGTCCCCTCGAACTGCTCGCCCAGAATGTTTCTCAGGTCCTCTGCCTGAGTTCACTCGGCAGCCTCTAGCTGCAGAACGAGCGAAGGGCTCGGCCTCCGGTCTGAGGCTCCGGCAGTGATGCGGCCGCAATTGTCGATGTCAAACTTTCGGAACGTCCGTCGCAAGATGTCCTGCCCGAGGTTTCCGCTACTGTATGAGATTGCAATGAGATTGTGCGCACCGGTCGCTCCTCGTGCACCTTGAGCCGTCCCTGCAGACAGGCCAGAGGTTGCATGATAGAGCTCTCTACAAAAGCGCGCTTTGCTGCTTATGCTCTTTCACCAATCCCGCATGCTTCAGCTGGCTTAGATCTTTGCTGGGCTCGTCACCTGCAGGGCCGCAGCAAGGAACTCGCTGTAGGCGATGACATCGTCGTGGTCGGTATCCATCATGCTGAAGACTGCCTGAGACATTACTACCCTCAAACGTTTGTCCCATCAAAAGACCCTTCTGAATCACGACGCGCCACCTCCGCCTCCATGCTGTCGATGTGATAGTTCGTCTCCAAGATTTCTTTCATCTGCCAGCTCCGGAATTCCGCGTTTGGGTTCGAACTGTTGTACATGTTGCCGAATGTGTCTGGGAACTCCAACCGGGGCTTAAGGCCATAACGGAGCTCTCACGTGGCAGTCTGGAGCGAGATCCAGCAGAACTGCCTGCAAGTGGGTGATGGTTCCGGTGTTCTCCGTGTCGAAGGACAAGAACTCATTGCGCAGCTGTGCGCGATCCTGCAGGCGCTCGCAAACCGGTTTTGCGCAGATCTGCGACAGACTTGCTTCTGCCTCCGCAGACAAAGACCAAGCCATCATAGATAGCACCTTGCACCAGCAACTTTCCGCAAGCTTGTAAACACACAGCCCGGGTTTCATGCAAACTTGGTGCGAAGCAGCACGGCGGAACGTTGATGCCCTTGCAAATTTTCGCAGACTCAGCTTGATCCCATCGTCGAGAACGGTCTTAGTATATTCGGAGCTTCCAGCATGGCACACCGGGGACACTTGCACTGTTGGGCGCATCTCAGGTGCCTGGCGTTGCTGCCACGCAAACCACCCTTCCCGGTGATCCAGGGATGGCTGAGTGCACCTGCACCGACTGTGGTGGCCATGGACGCTGCGATCGATGCTCGGGGTGGTCTGGATTGCGGTAACGCGGAGCTCGTGGCAATTAGATCTTCGCTGCTTGGGAGTCGTATGACAGCGGCCAGAAGCATTTCTGGTAGACTTCGGGAGCCTGCGGCATCCAAGCGCTCCTCGGGGTTCATCAGCAACAGCGCCTGCACCGACCACGCCGAATCCCAAAACCTACGGGAGCCTGCTGCTCCCAACTGCAGTTTGCCAGCTTCTCCGGACTGACTTTACCTCCCAGATCCGGGCCTTGACGAAATCTTGGGCACCATCTGAAAGGCGCTTGAAGCGTGTGGACCAGTGGATCTTGCCAGCCCTGCGACTCAAAAACCGCAGCGACGCAGGTTTTTTTTCCAGACGTCGCTTCGGGGAGCTGAGGCCCTCTCTTGATCTTGCGCAGGACTTCATTGTCGTTACTCCCTTGAAACGGAGGACTCCTCGAGTCACGAAGTTCCGAGTCTCGCCAAGCCCTACGAAATTTGGAACTGCATGTTGGACCCCGTGCTTAAGAACGCGATGCCGGTGCCCACCCCGTTTCCATTCTTGGCGAGGAAACCGGCTCATCCGAGTCCCGGGCCCTGTAAGGAGCATGAAGCTGATGACTCCAAGCGACCACATGTCTGCTTTCAGGGTGTAGGACTTGGCCAACACCTCTGGAGCGGCTGAGCTTCTTTGCAAGGAGCAGCTGCAACTCCCATGCTGTCAAGTGCATGTGACAGTCTTGCATGCTGGCCTCCGGCGCCACGTAGTGGGTGGATCCACAGGCCTGGCAAGCACACGTTCGCGGTGATCTTGCACAAGTACACAAGAAATCGTGCAGAACACGCTGGCAAGTTGAGTTTCGTCACGGAAGATGCTACAAATCAGTTCGACATGACAGTCCAGAGGGCCAGTAAAGCTCCCAGTAGGATCTGGCACAGAAGACTAGTCCCAACAAAGTCTGTAGCGTAGGGCCGTAGGGCCGTAGGGGCGAGATCCCTACTCGCCTGGACATGAAAGCGCCGCAAGTACAGCACAACAATTTTCCTCATATGCATCGCTCTTCAATATGTGCAGGCAGTGGAGCCTAAATTAGGAAAAGCATACGGCTGTGACGCGTGGTTGCTCGACGACATGCCGTGTGTCCATGCCTGTGTTTCAAAGGGGCACCGTGGAGAAAAGAGGACAAGCACGTGCTGAAGTCACGGGAAGGCTGAGAGACAATGAATTCTGTCGCGAGGGACGACGGGGAAAGGTCGGGGGCCACACGCAGCAAGCATTGCATGTGGTGCAGTGACGGCACTGAGCTCTCTGGAACGACCCCCGGCACAACTGCATAATTGCAACAGAAGGCTTGCACATGAGAGAAACCATTTGCAGAGCCGAGGGAGCACGACCATGCCTGCGACATTTTCGTACTTCGATCCCAGAATTTGGCAAATCCTTGGAGTCGCTTCAAAGCCTCCTCAGGCAGGAAACGAAAGAGAGACCCAGCCGGGGCAGCTGCCAAAGTCGATCAATTTGAGATGGTTGTTGTCCTGCGAATTTGCTTTTGCTCAGCATCTCGTCTTCGCTGAGCAAAGAGGAAGGATTTCCGATGCCAAGGCTGGCTCAGTTCTCTGGAAGTCCCTTTCAAGGGTCCTTCCGCTCGTAGAGGAAATTTTCAAGCTTCAGGTCTCGGTGCGCGATCTGATGCGCATGCATGTAGGAGACCTCGGAAGCATCAGTGCCTGCGAAGAATCTGATCTAAGGCGCCGGGATTCCAGCCGCTTTCAACATCTGATGGCAGGTGTTGGCAGCGATCTCCTCCGGGGGCAGTAGCGCAGAAAGCGGCATCTCCACTCTGCAATTTAGAAATTTAGTTTCAACAACCAACAGTTCTGTTGCAAGCGTGTCGTTTCACTGCCGAGTGTAGCCGTTCGCTGCAGCTCGGAGAAACCACTATGGCACGCGTCACTACAGAACGCCGAGCCTGGAAACATCAGAGTCAGAGTTCGAGCTTGGGAAATCTACTGTGCTTACTCATCAGCTTCGATGTTGCAATTTTTAAGCAATGAATTCTAGGCGAGTTTACTCTTGGAGCGAGGTCGCCCGAGCCTGAAACTGTTGCGGACATGCCCAGAAACGCAGCTTAGCCCTGAGCAAGGCAGCATTGTTCCACCTCGTTGTACACTTTGGCATCGAAGAGGCGATCGTAGAGCTCGCCACCAGCCATATACTCCATGACTAAGTGAATCTCCTGGCTGCGGGACTTAAGAAATGCATGGTAGGGAGGTGGCAGGGGAAAGTGTTCGTTTCCAAGGAGCATCCCAGTTTCTGTCTACCAGCCCTTGACAACTTCGCGAGTTTCGCGACACGTCACAGCTTCGGTGAATGTTTGAGTCTGTTTGAGCTGGGAGAGCCGCAAAGGCTCCGTTGTTGGTGGAAACTCAAGTATCAGTGGAAGCCGAGGAGGCCATGCCTCCTATTCCTGTCCTTGGAAGCGGAGTCGCTACAGGTTTCAAGAGCAAAATTGAAGCGTGCTGTGAGTCCCATTCTGTCAAAGGTGCAGCAGTCGATAACAAGTTCAGTTCACCGTGCTAGATGAAAATGACCACAATGTGGTAGCAGCAGCAGTCGGAGGTGGGAGGTAGTGCGTGGTCCGCGGTGGGTCGTACTTGACGGTTGTGCAGTAACAGCAATGTAATAGCAGTAATCGTTTCAGAAACAATAAAGACAACAAAAAAAGTAACAGTAATAGTAGTGGTAATGGTAGTAGTAAAAGCAAACGTAATTGTAATAACAATGGTACTAGTAATAGTGGTGGTAATAGTAGTCATGGTAGTAGTAAAGTAATATGCTACAAGCATAACTTTAGCAAAAAAAATCTTGTCTTTCGCGGCACCATCGCGGAACTTACGCGAAGGCATGTGCAGGATATGGAGTTGGCCTTTCATATAAACTACAGCACAAGCAGCTTTAGATCAACTACCACATGGACATAGATGCTCCGTCAGGAGGGAAAACCCGATTCCTCAAGGCACGTGGACACAGAGATCGGAGTTCCCTGACAAATCACACAAACCCCACTTGGCAAACGCCAATGATGGAACAGGCGTTAAATCTCGGAGTGGAGGCTTTCACCTTCCCGCAGGCGCCTGCAAATCCACCTTGAACCAAAACTCGTTGGAAAATGCAGGCTAGCACCCCAGGATTTCCCGGCCTGGTCATCCTCGTAGACCATCATCAGTCTGGCTATATGTGGGTGGTCCAAGGCCAGGTATATCTCTACCTGCAGGTCGTGGTACTGAGTCTCTGAGGCCCACATGCATGCAGTCTACACCGTGCGAGACTTTTCAAGGCAATCCGTTCTTCAGAGCGCCTTGGTTCATCTAGAAAATCTGGGTGCTAGCGTGTTCTCGCGATTTGAAGGATCTCCAAGCTGAGGGTAGCAATTGGAAAGTCTGAGTCCAGCGTTTAAGAGCACGGCTGGGATCCCTATGCTGTGAGACTGGCTGGCCGCAGCCAGCAACGTCAGACAAGAGCGGCATCGGGCAAGGATAGTTAGCGGTAATGCGTGCTATGGGATAGCTCGGTCGTCTCGTCGCAGGCTGCCACCATTCCACCGTCTAGTGAGACCCACGATGTCCATAAGTCACCTCTTGCTATGTACAATACTTACTTTAAGACTTCAAAGTTCTTTTCTCCTTCTCCTCTTCCTCCTCCGCTTTCTCTTCGTCCTCCTCCTTAAAGGACTCAAACCAGTCCACTGTCTCCTTCTCCTCCTCCGCTTTCTCCTCTTCTTGAGAGGCGCCCTCTTCCTGGAGGCTCTCCTCCAGGGAGCCTCAAAGCCGCAAAAGCAAGGAGACAGCGAGAGAGAGTCTGATCTCACTTCGCTGCAAGCATGCGCCTTCTTGTTTGTTGGGAGCACTCTGCAGAGCTGCGTCGTAAGAGGGATTTTCGAGCTTGCTCCGCTTCAATCCGCTGTTCTCCAGCTGCTCTCGCAGCTCCCTGGCACGCAAGAACACAGCAGCCCGTGCTCCCTTTTTTTTTCTCCATTCCCTGCCCTTCCAAACGAGCCGGCCGCTCTGCTGTCGCAGCCTGTGCTCCTAGGGGGTCCATGTACATTCAAGTTTTGCTCCAAGAGAGTGCCCACAGAGAGTCCTCGTACTTCCGTTGCCTGACCTGCACAGATCGAGTCGAGTCTGTCGATCCAAGGCTGTCAAGGCTCAAAAGAGATCCCCGAGAGAAAGGCTGAGCCTGCTCCAGGCGCTCCTCGCGAGCAACGGACTTCAGCTTCAAGCGCTCCACCTGAGCCAAAAGCTGACAGTCTCATTCTTGGGTCTGGGCTCGGCTAAAGTCGCAAGCATACTGCAAGCATCCGCGAGCATCCGCACCGGCCTGCGCTTTCCGATTCGCCTCCACTCGCGACGGCGCTCGCTCCTCCTGCCATGCATTCATTCGAAATTGCTGTGCGAATCGCCATTCCGACACACACTGCAGTCGACCTTGACAGCAATCTGCTGGAGGAGGGTCGATTCGTGCTTCACAGCTACCTGCCACAGAAGCGACGAAGGGGCGCGCGAGGTAGGGACCGCAGTGACCGCAGCAGGGCCCGCGCTGCCAAGGCTCGGCGCCTCGTCTCGGCGGTGCCGCGCAGAGAGGATCCGCTCGCGCGTCTCGTGATTCCAGTGCTGAGCTCTGGCCTTGGCAGGGCAGGCAGGGCATACGCACTCGGCATGACTGATATGAGACAAAACCTTATGGTGGGATGTGGCAGTGAGACGCGCGCCAGCGCGTCTCGCTTCCAGCCAATCCTGTTGCACCGCAGGATTCCAGCGGATCACAAGGCTGAGCACCCAATCTGGGAGTTGGCAGTCCTGTGGTCTTTCAGATTCATCTCCTGAGGGATGCAACTTCCACAGAATATTCAGAGCATCCAGCTGATCCGAGACTTTGAAGACGAGGCGAAACTGAGGCCTCCACCATTTTGTCTACCTCTCGGGGAGCTTTGAGGTAGGTGCCATCCAAAGGCTCCAACGGTGGAGGAGGAGCCTGACAGAAAGACAACTTGCCCGGCAACGCTTCTGTGATTTGCTGTCATTGTTGCTGGTGCCCACCTCGAACTTCCGGTGCATCCTGTAGTATTGCAGCCTGGAGTGCAGGCTTTGCCCCTCCTCCTCGTCATCGTCCTTTCGCACCTGACATGGCACCAAGTCTCAGTCGCAGCCCGATAGCCTTCGTCACTATCTATCTTGCTCTTTTTGTACTGACAGGGCTCGCTTCCCATGCGTTGTTGCCCGTGCCTCGGCAGATTTTCCTGCGGAAAACCCACCGCCCATGTGATCCGTGTCCACGCCCGCAATGATTCTTCTTTGCTTGTCTGCCTGGAACGTAAAATGGAGGCCGTGTGACCGAAGACTCGCTTTTTCCCAATTGACGGCAGAAGGGCAAGAAGGGTGGAAACGCTGTCGATATCTGCTGCAAGTGCTTTGGAGTCCACCGGCGGGGCCTCGAGCGGAAGCTGAACGACTGCTTCGTGCTATGCGGATCACAGGACTCGCCTTTCCCGGAGCAGCTTCAGAAAACCGCCTGTGCGAAGAGCTGCTTGAGGGTGCATTGGCTCGAACCCACGGTCCAACTGCCGGCCCTCCTGCCTGTCCCGGTTTTTCTTGTCTCGAGGGCTTCCATCTGAGAAGCTAAACTGGTGGATAGCCTGCGAAGAAGCTCTCGCATGTCGGCTTGCTGGTAGCGGCGCAAGGCTCATGCCTTGTTGTTCTTCTCCACCACCTGCACTGCAAACACCGCACGACTTCAGCCAGCACTGCTGCAAGCTAAGCTAGCAACTAGATTTTGAAGCAGCGCACAATCACCCCACACTTGGACTTGGGGTGCGGCATCGTTTTGACTGGCAACCATGGCCGAAACCGCCTGGCCACCTCAACACATGCGGAGACAGGGCTGAATAATCTGTGGTCGTGGTTGCACCTCGTTCCCTGAAGCGGTAGAGTTTTTTGGCATAGCTGAACTGCCCACCTGCTGCCAGGAGGGTCTAAACACGACTGTCCGGGAGCTGATTAGTGTTCAGCATCAGTTCAATTGAACAATCCCGGCTTCGGCTTGGTGACAGATGGCCCTGCAGAGCTTCTCTGCCCCTGTGTCTGTTCGGACAACATCCCATGAGTCTCACCTGGAGCTGCTGTGGCCGCCATGGCCAACAGCGATGGCCTGAACTGACTTGCTTCCACACTACACTCTCTCCCCACAGGCGCTTTGCCACCTCCCGCTGTTGACGCGGCAGGATCGCGACATGGTCTCGGCGAGGCGCTCGCGTTGCCTCGGGGCACAAACCGAGGCGAAGCTCAATCAAACGCTTCTTTCACTCAGCCAAAGGACAGCCCCCAGGCACTGCCCACCACGCACGATGATCAAAGGCTCTCTGTCGCTCTCTCTTTCCCTCTACCAGGTGGGAGGCCTCTCTCTCTTTCTCTCTCTTTGTTTTCGCCAAGGCTGTGATGCAGGGGTAGATCCCTGCATCGCGCGCAGTCGCGCCCCCGACTGTTGCTTTACTTGGGGTTAAAGTCAGGGGCAAGCCCCCCCAACTCGTGCCGAAGCACATACCATTCCATCAGAGACGCCTCTGCTTGCAGACTGAATTGGCCTGTGTGCCCCGTGGAGGCAGGTTACAGCGAGGCATCCGACTGTGTCACCAACAAGCATAGGACGGCTGCTACCAGTAGCAGAACACATGAATTACGAATTTTAGGGTGCCCCTCATCCAAACATGAAAGCACGACATGTCGCACTCACATTACAGACAAAAGTCAGGCCCTGCGGTCTTTATGTCTGCTACGGGCAGGCCACTTTGAAGGTACGAGGACATGAACGAGCGCCCCCCTGAAGGTGCGAATTAAACATTGAGGTGAGATGCAAAGGTGGTGAGGCTACGGCATCACTCGGTCGCCGTTTTGCAGGAAGGCCGTGGAACCGAACCGGAACTGCAGAACCGGAGCCGCACCGAAACCGAACCGGAAAAAAAGGTTCCTCTCGCTCTCTCGCGCTCTCGGTCTCTCTGTCGCCGTCTCTGTCTCTCGTTCCACCACTCACTCTCACTCACTCACTCTCA